CTGGTTATCAAACTATTTCACTAATTTGGTTGCAAGTCTTATTAGCTTTGTGTAGATAGATAGGATAAACATCTTGTATTCTCAAAGCATATTTGGTCTCACCAGCAAATTGCACATGCCCATGAAGTGAAGGCAGTGGAGAGGGAATTAAAGAAAGCATTAACATATGAACAGAGCCATGCCAGTCCCATGGTTTATTTGGATAATGGAAGAGATTATCCTGCACTGGCTTCAGTTTAAGCTATTCTAATTTCAGGCGGTCTTAAGGCATGTATAATTATGGTTAGAACTACAGGCAATTGTAATCTGTGGACTGACTCTTAGTGTGCTGGTACTCTGCATTTAGCTATTTTCAGTGGTAAGGTGTTAGGCGATCTGGGGTAAGGGTTGGCAGAAAGGAGATCTCCAGGTGTTTTAGACTTCAACTCCCCAATGAAGTTGGGGAATGCTGGGAGTTGAAGTTAAAACATCTGGAGATCCTCTCTGCCTATCCCTGGCCTAAGGTCATTAACCCTCTTTCAACAATCATCAGTCAGGGGATGAAATTGCTATTGCTAGGTTCTGTGCCGCAGTGAGCAAAGTATATCATGAAGAGAAAAACATACTGATGATGCAAAATGAGTTAAAATTGTCCAGTTAATTGAGAACAGGTCATGTACATACTGTTGCAGGCAGTGCTGGAGAGGAGCTGAAAGGGCACTTCCTGGGCTGGCAAGCAATGAGGGCCAGTGCTGTGCATGGAATCCTAAGGTCCTTGGAGGAATCAGCTGTAACAATACGCAAGAGCCACTAGATGTATTCCTATTGTCTGCTACTTTTTGGAGGAGTCAGGAGTGAATCAAGAGCAGCACCTCAGGCCACTGAAGAGAGATTGGTCACAGGCTGATGTCCTTTTGTAAAACATTTTTAAAACACACCTAACATTGGATGGGAAAGTATAGTCTCCAGGAATAACCATGGCAGCTCAGGATATACTTCTTCAAGTAACATTGGCTTAGAACCTAAGATACTGGATATGCCTGGAAGCAAACTGTTCTATCCCTCCTTTCATTCCCCTGCAGACTCTGTATCTCATGAAGGACTCTTTGGGTCTGGGAACCCTCCTGAATGCACAGGCATGTGGTAAGGGGGTTGCAGTAGGAAAAGGGAATCACCCAAAATCAGGCAGAGGCACCTTCTGTGAATGTAACTCTTTCCAGTCTGTCTTATTTTAGCCAATTCCTTTGTCCTATGGCTCCTGGAGGATTGCCCCACTGCTTAAGAGAATCACCTTACTTACTAGAGAAGCTTTTCAGAGCCTGTAGGGCACTGTGTTGGGCAGAGAAAACAGAAAAGACCCCTTTTGTGAACTTGATTCACACATCTCAGGATCCAACCATCTTCACTTTTATGTCCAGTTTAGACAGTCATAACCTGGCTTAATAAGCCAAGATATGGGTGTTTTTCCTATATGTGCATACTCTATACCCAAGGTGTGATTAAGCTAAGAAGCATCTAATTAATAATAATTTCCCAGTTTTGATGGAACAGAAAACTATTGCTACCAACTTTTAAATAGGCAAGGATATTAAATCAAGTGAGAGGGCAATCCACTGCCATCCAGAAGGGATAGAAACAGAGTGAGCCAGAAGGGGCCTCCCAGGCCATCCAATCTGACCCTCGGCTTCCAGCCGGCTCCGCTCACAACATGCCCACCATGTGCATGTTTATCATAAATATAAGCTTCCAAACTGGAAGGCTAACATAGATCCAATGTATGGAGCAAGGCACGGTGGTGGCAATCTCTGGTGCTGTAATGCCTCACACCATTTTGGCAGTCTAGATGAAGCACCAGTGAAGGGGAAGGAAGGCTCTAGGGCTTCCTGTAGGACATGGTGCAAGCTGCGGGCCCTAGTCTCCTCCCTGTGCCCTGACATGTCCCTTTTCCATCTCCCCAAGGCCCAGTTTTCCCTTGAGAGAACCGGCATGATTCTTTCTACACTGGCTGTAAGGGGGTAGTGGGGGGCTCAGCCTTCAGACTCCCATCTCTGAAGTTGTAGGACATCAGAAGGCTCCAAATAATTCTACCCCCCTCCAACGATGTTGGGGGTAGGTGGCATAGGATCTCAAAACTGGGAATTCATGCTAGTTGTACAAATGGACTTGCATTCATAGTAGATGCTGTGTATTAAGTAGGAATGTGCAAAATTAGGACACACAGCTTGCTGGGTGTATGTGTCATGCATAAGACCTACTTAATCTCACTGGCACACTTTAGGTTTCTGCAAAGATCTTAGTACAAACTCCTAGTTTATTTAGGATGCTAAATAATAGAGGGAGGTCAGGGCTCTTACAGACAAGCTGTCTGGAAGGCTTGGCTCTGTTCCCTCAGAAAGGAAAATGGGAACCAACAGGGCAGAATGGAATTGAAAAGCCTAGGAAAGAATGGAGGTTAGAATCTGCTAAGTTAAAACAAGCCGTGCTCTGTGAGAGTCTGTTGTGACGACCAGCATGTGTTAAATGGGCACGAAAGAGTTTGGCTTTGAGAACTGTGAATATATGCATCTTCTTGTTGTTTGGCTGCTGCAGAAAGCCAGGGTCTGTAAATAAATTTACTGAGAAAAATTGCAGATTCACTAATGGGTGTTCAGTCCCTGTAAAGTTTCTTTCATTTATGACTTTTACGGGTTGAATATTCTGTTTATTTCTTTGGCCAGGCTTCTTTCTTGGCTACATCTCTGCCCTTGCCAGTGCCAAAGACAGGAATTAGAATGTGCGCCTCCAACCCTAACACAGGGTATGCAGGCTTTCAAGGGATCCCTCATGTTTGGATGAAGATGAGAGGCTGGGATTACAACTGAACTGTCCCTGTGAAAATATTCCCATCTTGCACATCCACACCAGCGATGGCTCCCATGCTCAAGGCCACATGACTGATAGTATTTGTGTGCTTTTGTGGGGGAGGTAAGGTTGAGCCCAGATACATCTGCGCTTTTGGCAAATATTTTAAAAGTGGATTGCATGGTAATGGGCCAAAGTGAGATCTGTTTTGGTTGTGCACTGCTCAATATGAACCAACAGAAATATATTCTAGCTATCCTACAAGCTTTGTCTATTATTGAGAGAGTCTGCTGGCCTGATGCTAAGCAATCTCCGAGGGCAAAATTCTCAGCAGACAGCACTGAAAAAGAAGCCTTCAGTAGCATTTGGAGAAATTTAGGATTATACTTGGCTCAGCAGGTAAGAGAATAAGACAGTGAACAATTGAAAATAATGCTTTATTCTCTAAGAGAAACAAAACAAAGAAGACAAGGGATAGGAAGATGACAATAAACAAGTTCTGAACCCAACTCTTTCATAATTTATTGTTTGTTAATAAACTGGACTTCATTCTTACAGATACTAGTGTGCTGTACCAATATTACAATATGTGATAAAATAAAAACACTAAAACTACATCATGATGAAAACAAAGATGACAGCAAATGCAACAGAAGAAACAAAACCAATCCATTAAAATGCCTGGCTAAATGAAAACATTTTGAGCTGTTGTACTGAAACAATTGTAATGTTGGTACTAGTTGTACCATCATAAAGAAGATATTCCATAAGTGGGGAGCCATGATTGAAAAAGCCATCTCTCCCTTGTTGACACATGATGTATGCAAGGTACTAGGAAAACAGTCTTCCCTAACAGTTCTAAAACTGATTTAAATGCTTCCCCTCCAGTTGGGGGAGATGTGGACATTCCAGAAGATACCTTTCATAATGCTACATAATGAAATTGATAAAGGAAATGTAGGAGACATTTCTGAGAACAACCAAATAATAGTTGATCTCCTGTCTCACCTCCCCCTTTGGTGCAGTCTAGATTTGTCAGACTTTAGGCTTCTGGAATCTATTCTTCCCTGCTTACTTGAATGTCATGATCCATCAACATACATACACTTAGGACTAATGAATTCAGACCCCAGGAGTGGAAGGACTTCTATTAAGTTTTGGTGCTCTGAAACTGAACAGCCAAAATTGAGTGGAATTCAAAGTCTGGGTTATTCTATTTCTGTAATAAAATAAAAGTGAAGAGGAACTAACGAGCCTCTTGATGTGGGTGAAGGAGGAGAGTGCAAAAATTGGCTTGAAACTCAACATTAAGAAAACTAAGATCATGGCATCCGATCCTCTCACTTCCTGGCAAATAGATGGGGAAGAAATGGAGGTAGTGACAGATTTTATTTTCCTGGGCTCCAAGATCACTGCAGATGGGGACCGCAGCCAAGAAATTAAAAGACGCTTGCTCCTGGGGAGGAAAGCTATGGCAAATCTAGATAGCATACTAAAAAGCAGAGACATCATCCTGCCAACAAAAGTGCATATAGTCAAGGCTGTGGTTTTCCCAGTTGCAATGTATGGCTGTGAAATCTGGACCATAAGGAAGGCTGAGTGCCAAAGAACTGATGCCTTTGAATTGTGGTGCTGGAGGAGACTCCTGCGAGTCCCTTGGACCGCAAGGCGATCAAACTGTTCAGTCCTAGAGGAGATCAGCCCTGACTGCTCTTTAGAAGGCCAGATACTGAAGATGAAACTCTAATACTTTGGCCACCTAATGAGAAGGAAGGACTCCCTGGAGAAGAGTCTAATGCTGGAAACAATAGATGGCAAAAGAAGAAAGGGACAGCAGGGAATGAGGTGGCTAGATGGAGTCACTGAAGCAGTTGGTGTGAGCTTGAGTGGACTCCGAGGGATGGTGGAGGACAGGAAGGCCTGGAGGAATGTTGTCCATGGGGTCGCGATGGGTCGGACACAACTTTGCCACTAACAACAACAACAATAAAATCTTCTGCAGGAGGAATAATTTCATGTGCTGCCCTTGTTAAACAGTCATGATTTATAAGAAGCCCTTTTGATCTACTGGAAATTATCCAGAGATCTGTCAGTAGACTGAGATCTTCTTCATATTCTGATCTAGAAAGAATCGTTGGTGTATAACTGTTCAGCACAAATGTTAGCTTTGCTTTCCACAGGACTCAGAGCAGAAGTGGTTCAGTTGCTGCACCTCAGCTGCACTCAGGTCCCTCCCGCACAGTGCGACGCTATCCAGCTGCAAATAATGATCAGCTTACATCCAATGTACTGCCCAATGGAAATGGATTTGAACAGAGCAGTGCTGGGCCACGGACAGCATTCCCAGAACCTGCTTCATCTCTCTGGGGTAAGATCCGAAAGATGACTTAGGGTTCGTGGGTTCATTTATTTTCCAGAAAAATGTTTCTGAATTCAGACTCTCCTAAATGGTAATGGCATGGGGGCGGTGACCAGGAGAGGACTGTTACAGCCATTGTGAGACTTCATACATGCTGGCAATCTCTGCAGGTAACTTCAAGTGGCTCTCCTTAGAAGTATGAGACAAAAACATCAGAACAGAATTTAACAAGTTGCTGTGCTCTATGAAATTATCATCTTGTTGTCTTCCTGTTCAACTCAAATGAACTTTATGATCTTGTTTCTCTGTTTTCACTTAGTTTGAGAAATGTAATTTAATGTGGTAGCAGAAGAGTGCTTAATATTTTTTGTTGCATAAAAAATAGTTCCTGGGGCTAAGGCTATAGGGAAGTCCTAACATTTTCCCTGGAAGGCATCTTCTCCTTAATCTGAAATATGTGGGGTTAGGCTATGGGTATTCAGGAGGGAAGGTACTCTGCTTGTTGCATAGAGGACATTTTAGTCATCACATGTTCCAGGTTTTAGCTTTTAGACCTGACACAAATTAATTTCTGCCACAAAGTCTCAATCCATTATGCCATTTAGGAATTGTTCTCCCAGACTGTCTTTCCTCAGCCATTCCAACACCATTCCACCTCTCACTGGTACCAGATGAACCTCTTGAGTGGGATGGTGTAAATGGTGATCTGTAACAGCAGGGGGTTGGACCCGATGGCCTTCTTGGCCCCTTCCAACTTAACTGTTCTGTGCTTCTCTCACAGCCTTAACATCCAAACTGCTTTCCCCATTATTCCTCTTGCTTCATCTCAGCTAGTTGGCCTGACTCTTACTCTTTTCTTAGCTGAAGGAGTATAGGAGCAAACTGGAATGTAGCCAAATGCTCTACTGAGATGTGGGAGAGAGACATTATTGCTATGGATTATTATTTTATTCGAACAACTCCCTTCAGGGTAACTTTCCCAGTCTCCTATCTTTCTTTTAAAAAGGGAGAGGTAGTGGGAACAGACAGAGACATAAAGAGAGAAGGCATCTATTATCTTTTTAATAAAGAAATACTCCCATACAGCTTTCAATTAATGTGTTCTTACCCCTTCCTTTAAAAAAAAAACCTCTTATTTGCTTAGTCCTTGAGATGTATCCTGTTGATTCACTTCATAAACCACAAATCCTGTTATTCACCTTCTGACTGCATAAGCTATTGCTTTTTATGGCTTTATCTGTAATGTTATGAAAATTCTTTCAGGAAGTTTTTCTTTTAAATCTCCTATGTGGAGAAAGTTATGTGAAGGAATTTTAAACATTTATCACCTAAACAAAAAGAGGTCAGGAAAAAAGATGAATCAAGAAACTGCGACCAGAAGTAAAACAATAGTTTTCATTTGATGGCAGAAATAGGGAAAGGGCACTATTTCTGAGATTCAGATTACATGTTACCTGTAATTTGTAGCACACAGCTACATCAGTACTTGGTTTTTACTCAAAAGAAATTGAGGGGACATTATCAAAACCATGTTGGATAGGGGGGCTTCAGCCTTTTGCCTTCTATTGTGCTCCCCATCTGGATCTCAGTTGTACATCCACAAAGCTTCCATTGAAACAAATGGAGGCTTTTCTCCTATGCAAACTGCAAGCACAGCACCTGTTCCTGCATCCAGATTGCAACTACGGGGAGGAACAAAGCATTAAAGTCCCCTTACCCCAGGTTGGTCTCATGCTTGCTTTTGAGTAAAATTATAGCACTGGTGTAGCTGGTTGTTTACAGAATAATATTGAAAGGTGTGTGTATCTTATTCCTGAGTGAGACATGACCTTATTGGAACAGTTCATTCACTGCAATCAATCAAGGACATAATTCTGCAAGTGCCCAGAAACAAAGTTGCTCAGATAAACCTTTCTACTCTATTATATCACTTTTCTTTTCTTTGCAGGTGTCAACCTGACAGAAAAGATCAGGAAGATAAAGATTGTCTTCACTCCCACAATCTGCAAACAGACTTGTCGGCAGGGTCACTGCTTCAATAGCTGTGAGAAAGGAGACACCACCACCTTATACAGTCAGGGTGGACATAACCATGATCCTAAATCTGGCTTCCGTATCTGTGAGTCTCCCAAGATGTCTGACCCATTTCATAAAGTTTATTTATCATCCTCTTTTCCTTTTGTTTGTTAAACTAGCAGTTTCCTGCTGCAGCAGAGTTCAGGGCAGCAGAATTATTGTGACAAGTCCACTTGTCTGAAAAAGAAGCAGACTTCTCTGAGATTGATCCTGCCCTTTTTGAGACAAGAGGTCAATTGCAGTTACCTTTTTGTCTTTCTCCATTCTGCTCTGGATATAACAGTCCCTGGCTTCCAGTCAGAAGCACAGACAGGCATTGCAGTGTTTCTTCTTGTCAGGGCCAATCTGCTGCTTTCATTGGCATTAGCTTTTGGTCCTGGCTCCCAACACCTAATTTCTTCCCATCCCCTTCTTCCACTTCTGTGGAAACCAGGAGAATTGGCTGAAGCTTTTATACTTTTCCTAATTATTAAGGCAGCTGAAGTTTTTTCTTCTGATCTTGTCAATGCCATAATTGCACAGGAAATTTTAGTGAATTGGACAGGTCAGCCATCAGAGATAGGGAAGCCTTCTACAGCTTGGCACCATTCAGATAAGATGGAGTACAATTCCCATCACACAGAAGTACAGCCATTGCCGTGATGGCTTGGAATGAGATGAAATCCAACATATTTAAATAACTGTTATATTGCAGAAAGCTGCACTAAGGCCTGATGCTGTCTAATACACAAATATTATGTGATTGACTTTAAGGGTGTTTCAGATGACTTTGACTTAAATTGGTGAACTGAAATGATAGTCTTACTGTGACCATGTTGCATATGCAATTGCTCTTCAGAATTCCTCTGTCCTGTATTTGCAACCCTCTTCCATGGGACAAATTACATGAATTTGAAGTGATCTAAATGTCACAACTGTCTTGGTTCTTGGAAGTGAGGCTAGCTAGAAACTTCAGTTGGCCTGGTGTGCTCCCCATCAAGGGCAACTTGACATTTTTCTACAGCTGAGGGAGCAATGTTAAGATAAGTACATAGAGCACATGAATGTCCCAATGACACAGTCATTACTTGATTTGAATCAGAAATATTAGAATCGGTTTGAAATATTAGAATCGGTTTGACTGTCAGATTTATTTTATTTACAGATTTCTGCCAGATTCCCTGTCTAAATGGTGGACGCTGTGTGGGCAGGGATGAATGTTGGTGCCCATCCAACTCTACAGGGAAGTTTTGCCACTTGCCAGCTTTAAAACCAGCAAAGAAGCAAGTGCCCAACAGTCTGACAAGCAACTCCATGAAGCATTCTATGTACACACTTCCTCTGTCCAACCAGCTTGGTAAGCACTTGTCTCATTGCTTCTCACAGGCTAATGGCATGTGAAGCCTATTCTTGGTTACAATATGCCACCGATTCTTCCAGATGAGGCCTTTTTTGGCAACTGCTCTGCCAATTTCCCTTAGTTTTATTGCAAGTTTAAACTAAACCATTTCTACTGATAATCTTCCAGTATTTTCTACAGATAATCCTCACTACTCCATCTATCTTTTTTCTTGACATACATTATCTGCTAAGGAGGGAAAAGTGGAATAGATGCAGAATTTCTTTTGCTCTAATGGCTCCAGGAGCTATTTATCTGGAAGGAAAGTATCCTAGGCTATCACTGTGCTACTGATAACCGGCACTAGCCCTGGCTAACATGATTGGAAATTACCTGAAATGACAACTTCTGGAATAGGACAAGTCAGTGAAACTCCTAGAAGGGAGCTCCACTGGCCTTCTCCATTCTGGAATTGGTTGCTCTGGCTACTTTCGTGGGCTGTGCTACCAAGCTCTATTTTCCATTGGCTTAATGGATTGCAAGCATTGTATACTGGCTGAAGTGCAAATGTTTGTGGCTATGCAGGAATCTGGTTTATATTCAAATTATTATTTTGTAATCAGACTGAGATAAAAGAAAAGAGATAAATTAAGACCTACCATACACCTGCAATGCTAATACATGTTTGCAAATTAGTTAATTAAAGAAGAGCATAAAGAAACAGTTGCCAAACTATTTTAGCTAGTTAGTGTGTCAGGTCTAAAACTCTTAGTTTAATAAGGTGGTTAGGTAGGCCATAATCTACGTACAGCCTCATCCTGGACAGTACTGTGACACAGATGGATTACAGTAGTCTTCTTGTCCACATTCTGTTCCTACAGGTTACTCCAGTTTCTCTTGTTTCATGCCAAGCAAGCTGTTATTTCATTTGTTTGTATGTTGTGGACCCATACAAAGCCAAGGATTACTGAATTTTTATCTAATGTCTTGTTAGCAAACCATTGTGATATTGCAGTCAGAGTGGATGCCAAAGTTATCCAAGTTATCCAAGTATTTAAGCCCCTTTACTTAGCAATCAAGTTCCAGAATTGTTGCAGAACAAGAAACAAAGTCATGTGTCTGCTGACTGACTTTAATTTTTTATTTCAGCTTCAATAAACCCTTCCCTTGTGAATGTACATATCAATCACCCTCCAGAAGCTGAAGTGCAAATCCATCAGGTGGCCAGAGTGAAGAGTGACTCAGATCATTCAGAAGAGAATAGTGTTGAAACAGTGTTGGTATCTCAGCTTCCCATAGGACACCAGTACAATGATAATGCCACCAGAAACAGCAACAGCATTGTCACAGAAAGCAATCAAAAGCAAAGAACTCAGGATCTCATGGGAAGGTGTTACCTGGAGTCAGTACATGGAAAGGTCAAAACTGTTTTTTCTTACTATGTTTTTTCTGTCCTTTTGTGGTTTAATTGACATTCATGCATGCAAATGTAAATGAAGTGTCAGTGTATGCTCGTCTTATTATTTTCTTTAAAATATTTGCAACACACTTTTCCTTAATAAGTTCAAATGCCATAACAACAATTTAATTAAAACAAGCTGTAGGAAAAATGCCCATGGGTAACAACAAGTCAAAATAATTTCGAGAGAGGCAGCTTGCAAACATGAAAAACATCAAGACAAGTCATTTGGATGATTTGCTCCATGTACAATTAGCATTAAAATAGTTTCAGGCAAAAGAGAAAGTGGCTTTCACTGCAGTGGGAGGTTGTCAGAGAAGGGGTGAGGCAGGCTCCCCTAGGCAAGCATGGAATCCTGGCTAGATGCAAGGATCTAGATGCAGCTGCAGAAATTTTTTTCCCATCGTTCCAGCAAAATATTGCACATAAACCTAAGAACTAAGTATGTGGGCACGCTTATATGGGAGTCAGTGGTATATGCTGTGTTTGGATGCTATGCTGCAATTGCTGAGTCTATGAGTAATGTAGGGCTACAATTTAGGGTATATTCATATGAGCTCAATGTGTGTTTTGAAATTGTTTCTCTGTTGAGTGATTTTAACACTTGTCCAAATGTTTGTTTGTTTCTTTGTTTATTGCTTTTATATACCGCTCAATAGCCATATATGGCTCTCATGCATGGGAGATAAGGACATATTTTAGTCACCAATTGGTAAATTTTTGCGAGCTTTGCATTAGTGCAGCAAATTAGACTTGACTGTATGTGCTGAAATTGCATCTATTTGCACCTCATCTCAACACCTCACTCAAAGTGGTTGTATGAAATTTCTGAAGAATCAAAGAATGATTTAAGAAATAATGATTTATTGCCTATTAAAATATGTCCACATGGCAACTTTTTGCATTCCTAGTTTGGACGTTGTAGCACACATGTAGGAGTATGTGGCATGTCCATCATCCATGGGAATTGGGAAACTAACTGTTGAAGCCTTGAAGCCTCTGGCTTGAGTCCTTCTGAAGCAGCCTGCACTCTTTTAAAGAGCACGTCTGGTCTCTTGACTATACTTGGTTCTGAGACTTTATCACTGTCTGTCTGTCTGTCTGTCTGTCTGTCTGTTTGAATTTCTTCCACAATATACAGTCAAATAATCTGGGCTGCAGCAGTGCCCTTTTTATAGCTTCCCTGTGATTTCAGTAGGAAATGGAAAAAGTGTAGGAAAAAAATTCTTACTCAGTAAATGAATGCCTAATTTTCATGGAATATTCATTTCCCCTGCAGCTGAAGTGAATGTAAATTCACGTAACTGAAACATCACTTTCCTTGACTCTTATTGCATTTGTGGAAACATACAGTTCAGAATAACACTTGTATTTTTTATATTAGTAGTGTTCTTTTTTACACAGATGTGCAGGCGACAATCTGTATCTTCTGATCTGTATCTTCCAATTGGGTAACTTACTGATGTGAATGTTTCTCTGAAGAATCACTGGTGGGTTCTATTCAGTTTCAAGGATAAACCCTCCAGTATCCCCATTCAGAGCACTGAATTTGGCAGAAGCCAGATTCTGCTCCATCCCAATTTCCTATGCTTTCTCTCATTGGCTAAGTAAAGATAGAGTCATTCTGAAAATTTGGTACGAAACATCTTGACTATAATATGAGGGTTAAATACACAACCCAACACAATGTTTTTCTTAAGTAATTGTCCTTTGACTGACTGGTGTAGTGAAAAGAAACATGTTTAGGCTTTAGACTTTTCTCAGGTTCTACAGGTAACTTCAAGGAAATGTGAGCAAAAGGTGAAAGATGGTGTATCCTTGTTATTTTATGTTCTTGTTCAGCTGGAACAGGGGCTGCAGCTTCGTCTACTGAGTGATGGCTAAATGTCTGGTCAGGAAGCTTTTTTCTCTTCTGCTTCAGTCTGAAGCCAAACTCACTGGAATGTGAGCACTGGGCACATGGCCATTTCCGGGATGGATGGATGCCTGATTTGGTTTGTGGACTGTGATAGCTTAGCTCTAATGGGGAAGACTACAATCTAGAGGTCTTTGTTGGGAAGAAAAGTGACACTTATTAAGTCAATGAGAAAACTATTCCACAAGGTCTGAACTTGTACACCCGTCTCACTAGCAAATAGATTTAACTTTAGGAAAAGACATTTGTTTTATCCAAAAGCTGCTTGCTTGCTGATACCATCTCTGGATATGCTGTGCTACTCAAACCTAACAGTAATACCCAACATTTAATACTCAAAACTTAGCTTTCCAAGGGGCAAAGACATAGGCAGTTCTCATTTTTCTGTCTGTAAAACTGTTTACTGTCTTAAAATGCACCTCTGGCTCTGCAGAGAGTTTTTCTGCCTGCTTAAAGCAGAAACCTCTCTGTTAACTATAAACCACTCCTTCTGTTTCCCTCCTGTCTAGGCTAGTCTAGTTTTGGCCAAGAAAGACAGGAATGATGGACTTGGGCCTAATGTTTGACATCTTTCTCTCTGAGTAATGAAAGGGCTGGATTCTAATGCTGCCTCTTTCCCTTCCTTTCTAGTGTGCAGGCCCCCTGCTTGGTCTGGCCAAATATGAGGATTGTTGTGGCAGTGTAGGAGCATTTTGGGGAGTCAGCAGGTGTATCCCATGTCCACTGAAGCCAGGTAAGTGCTCTTTAAGTGGAAATTTCTCTACTCATTTTCTTGTAGGGGTTGTCTGTGAAAGAGTAGGAGTACACAGAAGCTGGCAATGATCCAGTAGGAACAGGAAGGGACTCCAGGTACATTGAGATGGATGGGTCCTAGTCCTAACATTCAATAGGCATTGTGCAGCTGTTCTTTCTTTCTTCTTAATCATTTATTGTAAGAAAAAAGATGGAGGAAGTGGTGGAAAAACATGGGAGGGCTACAAGCTGAACATGTTGTGAGCCGCCCCGAGGCTTTGTTGCGATGGGGGTGGCATAGAAATGTTTTAAATAAATAAATGATGATGCCTGGATCTCCCATAAGATTCTGTTAATGAAGCAGTGCCAGTGTTGCCTGGAAGTACCCATGGACACACAGGATGGCCACTCATTTCAGGAACGCTATTTTCTTTTTGAAATTAATGTCATTCCTGAATATGCTTGAGCAAGAGGAAGAACATGTAATGTGGTATTTACAGTGATTCTTACTGGGCTGCAGTGTTGATTTAGGTGCCAGCAAGAATTAGTTTGACTTGGTTGCTGGCTCAGAGCTTCGTAGTCTCCCTACATACCCCCTCTGTAAAATCCAAGGGCAGTCTGATGTTTGTTCCATCTCAAAGACATTGAGCAAGAGAAAGCTGGAAAATAATGGCCATCATTTTAGGAGGTGTGGCTGCAGTTTGGCTGGCGAGGTTGCATACTCAGCCTTATAGAATTACGGGCCTGCTTTAGATGAGGGCTTGGCAAATGCTCTGGAAATAACACTACATCAAACAGTTGGCAGGATTGAATCTAGAGTCCATTCCAGGGGCATAGAAATCCAGCTCTACATTTTCTTTTCCCAGCACCCAAAGAGACTGATGCAGTACAACTGTAATGGATAGCTTGGTTAATCTATAAGGAGCATGTAATTTTCATTTGCTTATTCCATGGTGTATATTCCAGGAAAGATATCATCCTATCTGGTGAATGGGGAGGGAGATTGACAGAGGGTTTTTCCTAGGAGGTGGCTTCTAGTGCTTCCCCAGTTATTGCTCTTCTGCTTAAAAGCTATATTTAGAATTGCACATGGATTTTCTTACTTCAAGAGTGTTTTTTGACATGCTTATCCCACTGTGTTCAATCCTCCCCCGATGGAGCTAAAGATGGCATTCACTTGATCTGAACCTTGTGCCAGGCTTTGGCAAGTTCTGCCTTCATTGCCACTGTGTGTGCAGAAGGGCACAGCCAGACTGGAAGCACTGTGCAACTATTTTTCAAGCAGGCTTTTGTCCTGCCAGTGCTCCATCTCCATCAGCATAAGAGAATCTTGTCATGAGCAGCACTATCTGGGACAAATGGAACAAGATGAGAGAGGCCTAAGTGTGATATCTCACCTGGTTGAATCCTCAGGCTATATGACAGCATGTGGCATAGGCCTCTGGGACCTGCCCATCCACTTTGTAAAAACAGGGGTTCTTGTCAGGGTCAGAGGCAGTCTCTGGGGTTGCTTTTGGCCCAGTGGTACTGTTCTTCCCATAACCTTGCTCAAGGAGCACACATTGGCTTCAACTAATGAAGGGTTTTTCCACATGTTTATTCACCAAATGCCCCAGCTACTGTTTCTGCACAATTTTTCCACAATCTCCTGTTCATATCATATTTTATAACAGAGTGGAAAGAGCTTTGAAGTATGAGAAATAACTTGGGTAACTATTTAATCCCCATCCACTCATCTTTTACAAATATGGTTAGATGCATGCGAAGGCAACCATCTAATAAACTAAGAAAATAAAAAACAATGAAAGGTAAATAAAATTTGTGAGACATTGCTACATAGAGAGAAAACCTTTGTTTGCAGTTGTAAAATACTAGGTAAGTGCTTGCATGATGGAATAGCACAGGAGAAAATTCACAAAGCATGTTACAGTGGGAAAGTTGTATTTTTGATCATTAATAATATCACTAAAAATATCTAGATGCTCCAGTGACATTCACACAAGCACATTCTGCACAGCATGAAAACACTATATCGAGGAAGTATTAGATTTTCCTGAATAAGGAAAAATGCCCCATAACAGATGTGCTATCTTGAAGAAATATCTGATTTATTGCAACAAATGAATAACAAATGCATTTAGGGGTCAATGAACTGATTGCATGGAAAGTCTCAGAATGACTGTTGCATTCCACAAGTTAAAATCAGGTTTGAATCTGTTAATGAGCTTCTGACTGTAGGATGTATGACAAATAGTCCATGGTCCCAGAAAGGAATTATTATATCAGAAAAGACAGTCTCGTGACTGAAGAGCCAGCAGCCTTAATCACTGGAAATAACTAATTCTGTTCTTGCATTCACCTCACAAGGGCCTTCTATCTTGCTCAGGTTTAAGCAGTTTGTAGTTTGCCAAAGGAACCTGTCCTAGCCACAGATTTTTCTTGAAACATGTTCTTTATTAATCAAAGTGTTTTCCAGAAGGCATCTCTGAGCATGCACAGAGCAGTTCATTGAATCCAATCTAGTATATACTTTTAGGAAGTCTGCTTATGAGTAATTTTGGGCCTTATTCTTTCAGGAGAGACCTCTTGAAAACAAGCATGCCTCCTCTTTGTATACCCATCCTCTGACTGGGCTGCCCTCCTCTGCCAATATTGCATCAAGAGGTCAAGAGCCATATCTGCTTCATCTGTCGCTCAGAAACTCCCCTGTTCCAAGTCCCTTCCCACTAACTGTACATCTTGGTTATTCTCAGAAGCTGCCTGCACACCTGGGCAGTCTGGCCTCAAGATAAACAGCTCTGCTTCTCTCTCATCTCAATGTTCAATTGTCCCACATTCTGAGACCCCCCCCCCCCCGTTCTTCCTCCTCTGAATTCCAATCAGCAGGCTTTGAGAATGTGCACCAAGAGCAACTGTCTTTCTTACTCCCAACACTAAAAATTGTTGAATAGCAAAAAACAAAATCAGAAACAAAAATCACTCCTTCTGACACAGTGGAGCTGGAGCCAGGAGTAGGTTCACAGGACAACCAGGGCCTGTTCATACAACTCAGCTGATTTCTCCTTCTTTTCCTCCAGTAATACTACTGCCTTTGAGATTTGCACCCTCAGATGTGACATTGGGATTGTGACGGCTGGGCCATGGGCAGCAGGCAGGAACAGGCAGCACTCTGGGTACAAGGCGCTGGCACAAGGAGGAGTCTGTAGTCTTGTCAAGGGAGCAGAGGCTAAGAGCACGATCAGCAGTTCAGGGTCAGAAGCATGGAAGGGAGCAGTCCAATACAATGCAGAGAGAGAGCACAGATGAATGAACAGCAGGAGCAGAACCAAAGCAGGTTGGAGCAAGGCAGGAACAAGATAGGAGCAAACTGGAATGCTAGAGCAAAGCCGCAGCAAAGGGGGTACGAGGAGTAAGATGTGCAGACGTGAAGAACCAAAGCACTAGGAGTTGTGAGCTGTGGTACAGAGAAGCCCTTTATGTTAGTCTCCAGGGCCTCCACTTACCTCACGTAATTGCTTCCCAACTGTTCCCTCCAAGTGCCTGCAGAGGGGTACCTGGTTCTGCAAACACTTAAACAGCCAGCCAGGCTCTAGTTCTGACAGGGATTATAAACAGTTCTGCAAACTACATGGAGGGTACCTGTTTGGTTGGTCCATCCTTTATTTGGACAGAGGCGACTTGCCTTTCATTTGCTGTTAGTTTCTTCTTCTTAACCCACCTGCATTACTCATACTTGCTTGTGAAATCTCCAGGGGCGGCAATCTCAGGGTGACAAGAAGGGTCCCTAAAGAGCCAGTTACCAATAATCTTATTTTAGGTGAAATTTCTAGTCTTTGCCTGTAAGTAGGCAAACAAGGCATGAAGAGCTAAAATTAAGGGTTACCTCTTATGGTGGGGAGCAGCCACAACTCAATTGCAAAGTACATGTGCAGAGTCTCAGATGCAAGCACTGGTGATCAACTAGTAGCCAATATAACTAATCTAATATTGAGGTGATATGGGCATGTGAACTTGCTTGTACCAGCAGTCGTGCTGTCCAATTCTGTACCAGTTGAAGTTTCCAGACTGTCTTCAAGGGCAGCCCCACATAGAGTGTGTTACAATAATCAAGCCGACAAGTTACCAGAGCTCGGCTTTGCCTGTCCAGGTAGGCCACAGTTGGTAAATTAGACACAGCTGAAAGAAGGCACTAGTGGTAAGGTAGCTGGCAAACCTATGCAAGCCTACACAAGAACTGGGTAGCTTGTCTCTCCCAACACTTCATCAGGGACTGGGCAAGGAACTGCTCTCCTTTCTCTCCTGGATCCCCTCCTCTCCCTTCCAAAACATGTCTGCTCTCACTGTCAGCCTGGGAAACTGCAGGCAACTATCTTGATTGAATTTCAGAGCTTCCTGTCCTCCCATCACCTCTTCATCAGTGTCCTCTTCAGAATCCAATAGCACAGGCCCTTGAAAAGTTAGCAAAGAGTGAATTTGCTTGACCAACTCACTACACTATGTGTACAGCATGAGAATGTGGCTTATTCAGAGTTAAAAAAGGAATAAACTAAATATGCATTCCTAGTCAACACAGAGTTTTCTTTTACACTGCAGATAAATTTAAGCATAACCTATTTTAAACTCTACACAGGAAAATCCCCCAGAGAACTACAGACACAGTTGTGGCTGTCTTACTACCTAAGATATGGAATTATTCATAGGCTCTGAACCAATTTTCACATTCTTCTGATAGATACATATAACATGGAAGAGAAAACATGGATTGGATTGAGCTTCAGCGTATTGGCCCACATCCAATGCATTACTGAGTCCAAGCTCTGGTCAAGAACAGAGGCTACCTCACCTGGATTTGATGAGAATGAGAGGTAGAGCTGAGTATCATCAGCATACTGATAGCACTTAAGCCCAAACTTCCAAATGATCTCTCTCAGTGTTTTCATGTAGATGTTAAAAGCATGAGGGACAAGACAGAATCTCACAGGAATCTCTGGCACAAAGGCC